GTCTCGAGGTTAAAAGGTTCTAGACCTCCTAAATCAGGGTTTAAATCCGGCAGGGAGTCTAATTCAATCACTTCGGTTTCATCCTCAAAGAAGTCTTCATTATCATTAGCATCCACGAAATGGATGCACTCAGTCTCAGGTTCAGGGAACCTCTTCTTCTTAATGTTTTCCTTTATTATAATCATGCTAGCAGGGTCAAGGACTGGGGAGGCTAAAGGTTGACTGGGATGACTAGAAGTCGATCCAAGTGGGGAGTCATATGGGCTCGAACCAACAGAAGACCCACTAAAGGGTCCGTCACCAAGACTGAATGAAGACCTACAGGGTGGGACAGCTACCCTGTCGTTATTAAAGGATGGGTGGTCTCGACCCCAGTAATGTCCACGGTTTGTTCCAACAGAAAAGGTGGGGCGGAGCTCTAGATAGTGGTCACTGGTAGAGAGTCGGTATTTTCAATTAAGATCTCACCTCATGTCTTTCCAAGTAGGGTACTCACCGCGAGACTCTTTATGATCTTCCAATCTTGCCCAAAATTGAAGAGCTCGACCTTTTAGGTGAGATTTAGCGATGCTAACTTGGTGGGATTCAGGAATATGACATGATTTAAAATAATCATCTAGTTGTCTCGCCCATTCCCTAAAGTGGTAAGGGTCCAAGGAACCATCAAAGGTGGGTAGACGGTAAGGTGACTCAAAGTGAGGTCGTTGTGGCTTATACTTGGGTCTAGGTTGAAAAGTAGAGTGGGACACATAATTCGAGTGGGGATAGTCAACAGGTTTCTCCGTCATAATTCTAGTCATATTGCCCACTAGGTTAACAATGTCATCTAAACTCTTTTGGAGTCTTATCGGGTCCATTGAAAAGTGCTAAGATGCTTAAGGAAGAATGGGCGTAAGGGACATCATTTAGACACTAAGTTAAGCTCACTTAGACTCGCACAGGGTGCAGAAAAAGTTTGGACAGCAAGCTAAGCTAGTGGGTTAAGTAGCCTAGGCACTTAGGGAGGTTGTTAGGTTGAGGACAGCACCCAAACGCTTAAGAAACTGGCCTATATTTCACTAGATGTGTGCAGGAAAGATGTGGACAGCAAACTACAACAAGGCATAAAGTAATCTAAGTGTTTAGGCAGGATTTTAGGATATGGGCAGCACCTAAACACTAGGTTAGGTTCACCTAACAGCAGGTAAACGATGCAGAAATTTTCTGGACAGCACACTACAAGGCTTGAATAAATGCGTTAAGTGTTGGGTTAGGTGTCTAGAGTGTGGACAGCACTTAGGTACATGAAATGCTAAACCAAAACTCACTAAATGCGTGCAGGAATTGTAAAGACAGCAATGTAAACCGTGAATAAAATTTAGATATGCGATGATATGCATGCAAAAATTAAATTATAACGCAAGGTTAGACCCTAGGATGTTTTTCTAACATGTCGTGCATGCCTACCATGCTCTGATACCAAGATGATGTGAAACCAATCAAGAATTGCACGGAGACATAATAAGACAACGGAGTAAGCAAGTCGATATAAAGATTAACGAGTCTCAGTTAATGATTTAATGAAATCTCAGTTGCAAAATTGCTTAGGCATTGTTACAAGCTCATTAGGCACAACAATTTAAAACATTAACAAACATGCGAGTAATGACGAATGCACTTTAACAATAATCCGCAGGTTAATATTTAGAAAAGTCACCTTGAGTTTCCCTCACTCAAGCTCTCTTGCAGTTAACAGAAGAAAGATATTAGCACACTAATGTGATCACCACGATGAAGAGGGAGCTTACAATACTGTCCATGGGAAAGCTATTCGGAGCTAGAGGGGTTGATGATCAGTGCAAGCGTGGACACTCGGATGGACGGTAGTATTCGTCGATTTCGGTTGATAAGGAAACTAGTATCCGATCCACGTAATCTTCAATGGTGGCGTCGATCTCTATGCTGACGTCACGACGAAACGCCGGCTTTGCTACAGAGAGGATCTCCTCTCCAAAATCTGAAATTGTTCCTTGCAAAAACTGGAATAAACCTGGATTTATCCCCCAAACTGATATAGAACTGGAAAAGCTGCAGCAGGGACAGCAGTTCGTGGTCTTCCAAAGTGCTGGACAGCAAGATATTCTTGCTGGAATTTCCAGGGCAGCAGCCGTTTAAGGCTTCTGTAGGGTGGGGAAGCAAGGACGGTGGCTGGAAATTTCGGCCAGCAGGTGAGAACAGGGATGAACGGGATTTCCAATTAAGAATAATGAGTTTTGGAAGAGTTTAATGAGGGGGATGCATGGGTGAGAGTTTCGGCCAGGAGAACCTCAGCTTTTGAAAAATATTTCCAAAGAATTACTTTGGCTGTTAGGAAATAACGCTTCACGGGAGGAGGGAATTGATTTTTGGTTTTCAAAATTGAGAGGGGGGCGGGTGAGAGAACTGGTAAGGAAAGGAATTGAATTCCCTTGAGAGGATTCGGCTAGCAGTAATGGGAAAAGGGGTTAATACAAAGCATTAATGCCTACTAACGTGAGATAATTATTTAATGCTCTTGGTTCCTGAATTCCAGCTCTAGTATTGGGAAACAACTAAAAGCCTAGGTATGAAGGAAAATCCGGCTCAGGGAAATTATGGGGATTTCAAATTATTTCCTAAGTGAGAGATTAGATTAGGAAATAATTTCGGCGAGGGAGAGGGAATTGGGGAGAGAGGGAGAGGGGTTTCCAAATTAGGATGATGACTAGGAAAATCTTTTTCTCATGAATCCAATTTCATTTAATGTGAAATTGAATTCAAAATTCAAAAACTTTCCTAAAATAGAATTTCCGAATTTGGAAAGAAATTGAAATTTGAAATTCAAATTTCAATGAGGGGTGGAGAGGGAGATGTGGGAGGTGGTGGAGAGGGAGGAAGGTGGGGGAGCCGGCGGCAAGGTGGCCGACGGGTGGTGAACCCCAAGGAGAAAGCAAGGTGGGCGGGTTTGCTTCTTCTTCTTCTCGTGAGGATAGATTGTGGTATCTTGTGGACGAGGCGATGAGCTAATGATGTAAAAGAAAACAAGAGAACTCACAAAGAGATCTCATGCAAGAACTCACTAAGAGATCTTCTGAACTCACAAAGACAACATAGTAGAAAACTTTCATTCAATCATTAATTTATCATCCTACATAAGAAAATGGCCATATATATAGGCCTCAAAATGACAAAGAAAAATAAAAGACTAAAATGCCCTTTGGGCTACAATAGCGACCAAATACCCATAAGGGCAAAAACGGAAAAATAAAATAAACTATTACATAAAAATACTCAAAATAAAACTCCTGATCGTGGCCGTCGATCTCTAGTGTCTCCGATGGTACACATGTTGAAATCGCTGACGATGTCCTCATCACCAAGGTACATCCTCTTGCAAATGTCTAGTGAGAACATCCATGACTAAAGCAAAAATATATGGGCTTAAGGCTGATCCTTGATGTAACCCAACCGAAATACAAAAATACTTGGTCAAACCACCTTGTGTTTGAACACAAGTAATAGCTCCTGCATACATATCTTTAATGATTTGAATATAAGCATTATTGACTCCTTTATTTTCAAGAACTCTCCATAGCACTTCTCTTGGAACTTTATCATATGCTTTTTCTAAATCAATAAGTATCATATGTAGATCCTACTTATTTTCTCTATATTTCTCCATCAAACCTCTTAATAAATGTATGACTTCCATAGTCGACCTACCCGGCACGAATCCAATAAAAACCAATAAGAATATTAATTAAATTTTGAAACAGTGACTATCAATGCTTAGAGAGTTCAGGGTATGGCTGAGAGTCAAGAGGTGCATTAGGTTGGGAGCCTAAATTTGTTTGTTTTAGGTTTAGTTGCAGAGAAATAACAAAATAAGATTTAATTTATGTATTAACTATAAAAATTTAAATTTTTTTAATTACCTAGGTGGTAATTTTTTAGGTTTGTGCTTCTTATAAACTACGCAGAAGCGCACCTCAGCCTTACTGAGGCATGTGCCTCATCAGACCAAGGTAAGGCATATGCCTCATGACATTTTTTTCATAACTATGATGCAACACGTCTCTTAATATGAAATTTTAAACAATAAATGCTAATTATTTGTTCTCTGAATTTAAAGAATTATGCCCAGATGGCTTAGCATCACTTAGGTACATACTGTGTGCCATTGATTTGGTCCCAGGGACATCAATGCCTGAGTTTTCAATTATGGTATGAATTCTACTACATGCAGAATTAAAAAGACAAGTTGCTCTCATAACACTTTCACTTCAATCACATGCCATTGAAAACCTACTAACATAGGCTACCTTCTACACAGTTATAACCATCTCTAACCAAATTACGTGCAGCATGTTGCTCAGTAAGCAAATTTTGAAGTAAACCCTCATGCGAGAAAAAAAAAGTACGGAAAAATAGAAATAGAAGACAGTGGAGGAAGCAAGAACAACTAAGCCATAAAATTCATAACAACATGAACAACAAATGTAAAAGGTAAAGTATTTGTACTCCAATTTTATGCATAAACGTAGAAAACTTTTCTCATAGGCACTAACAAAATTATAGTATTAAACATTAACAAAATGTCATAGAACCACCAAATTAATTAAACTCAGCATCAATTGGTTGTTCTTTCAATGAAGTAAAGTTTCAGAAAAAGCTAACCATCTTTTCACAAGCAGCATGGCATAGTTCCCCTGCGCATTCTGGAAGACCTAAAATGGCAAAACTATGATTAGTGAACCACAAATATTTCATTTAAACGAAAAATAACAGCTTACCATCACTCTCGGGAAAATCCCCGCTAATTGATGAATCTTCAGACGCTGATGTGAAGTTTTCTTCTTCTTCTGACATCAAATTTAAAGGTACTACCTGCAAAAACTCCATGATCAGGTTAAGAAAAAAAGTGGCATTGACTACTTTCTAAGTTAATAGCAGGATGAAGCATACCGAAGACTGAAGCTCAGAGTCTTCATCATCATAAGCTGAATCAACAAGGTTCGTAGAAGTTGCCATTACAAGACCTTCTTGGACAAAACTTTCAGGTCTAAAATCACTATTGCATATTTTTGTATGTTTATGATAGCTTCTCGAGCAAGCCTTAAAATCATCCAACTCAGATTTCTCCTCGGCAGAAGCCACATTTCTCCCTGGTGTAAATCTCACGGGACTACCAACTTCATGTAAATCAATTAGTGGTAGGTCGGATAAATCTGGTTGCTTCAATGGAAAAGAGCCCGTTGTGACTAGAAAAAAAAATAAAAAATAAAATTTAAAAAAAAAACTTTAACTCTAGTCTGCTAAAATTAAGTGGCATCAAAGTTGAAAAAAAAATTGATTAACATGGAGCATGGAAAAAAAAGGAAAAAAATACTGAAATGATGGGCATTTTAGGAAGTTTCTGAACATTGCCAGTTTAGAGTTTCTTCTATCAGAAAGAAAGAATTTCAAATGGAAAGCACTCACAGAAATAATTTTCACATACGTTGAACCCCTCTGAAGCTCTAGACTTCCTTTTACCAGTAAATTACGTCATTACGTCTTTATTTTGTAATTATAAATCTTTGAAAAGCACCAAAAAAATTATGTAGGATATTTCCATTGCTGTGCTTAAGACGCTGCGGTAGATAACTAAATTAAAAAGCCAAAGAACTATTCTGTGAAAAGTGATAGAAAAAACAGAGGAACAAAGCGAAAGCAAGAGACAAATGTGAAACGAGTCACAAATACTGAGATTTTAATGGTTAATAACTTGGCATGACAAGTTCAACTTTTTTTTCCTTTAACACTGTCATTGTCAGGTCCCAAGTCCTGAATGAGAAAAGTTGAGGGTTGCATTAGGTAGTCGACAGTCAGCGTAAAACTTGTCGAATAATCATGACATGAATTCTTTAATTCATTGTATTAATGTCAGAGTATTCCCTAGAAGCAAAGCGTTGTATGGCCTGAATACAGTGACAAGTGTGTAATGGTCACTGCACTGGTGCCCAAGTGCAGTGTTAAATAAGCAAGGGTTCCCACATCATGGATGGGTGTAGGTAAAGAAGCTAGTCAATGAAATTAAAATTAGGGTAGAAACTTGGAATATAAGTCCCTTACCGGCAAATTAATGAAATTAAGAAAATATTATGATTCATATGAAGATAAATATTCTATGGATTCATGAAATTAAATGGGTAGGAATGAAAGCTAAAGAGACTGATAGTTTATGATTTTAACTATGGCATTCTGGTATGAGTCATAATAGAAATGATGTATATGTAATTATAGATAAGAGTTTAAAGGATAATGTTATAAAAATTAATAGAAATGAAGATAGAATTATAGCTTTAACGATTGTTGTTAATGTTAAAATTATTAATATTCTAAGTGCTTATGCTTCTCAAGTAGATTTGGATGTGTTAAAAATTAAAATTTTAGAATGACTTAGAAGAATGAATACAAAAATATCTCTTGAAAAAGAATTTTAATTGAGAAGATTTAAATGGACATGTTAGTAGAGAAGTAGATTATTTTAAAAATATTCATGATGACTATGTGTTTGGATCGACTAATGAAGGTAGTAAGATCATATTGAACTTTCTAAAGTTTATGATTTTGTAATTGCTAATACATTATTTTAGAAAAAAGATGAGCATCTCATCATTTATAATAATGGAAATAGTAAAACTCGGATTGATTATTTTCTTCGAAGAAAAATAGATTGTTTAGATTGCAAAGATAGTAAAGTTATTCTAAATGAAAGTTTATATACCTAGCATCGCTTGTTAGTTTTGGATTTTGAGATGAAAAGAAAAAAAAATAAAAATATATAGTAAAATGTTATTCTAGGATTATATGTTGGCATTTAAAGAATATTAACAAAAATATTTTTTAGAGTAAGATTTTAGAACTTAAGATTATGTCTGTGCGTGAGGAAGCTAATGTTATATAAGAAAAGTAGCTATTAATATTAAGAATATTGCAAAAGATGTACTTAAAGTACCTAAGTGAAAAGCTCCAAATAGTAAAAATAATTTGTGGAGGAATCAAAATGTGAAAGAAAATATCAAAAATAAGAAGATTTGTTATAAAAATTGGTTTGTATGTAAAAATTCTGATAATTGTGATGGATATAAAAAAGAATGCAAGGAGTCTAAAAAAGTAATATGCAATGCAAAAATTTTAGCTTTTAATAATTTATATAATAGATTAGATACTAAGGAGGACGAAAGATATATGTATAAATTAGTCAAGCAAATAAATAGAAGTATTAAGTATTTATTTCAAGTGAAGTACATTAAAGATGAAGATCAAGAAGTGTTTTTATTAGAAGAGGATATTCAACAAAGATAGATGAGATATTTTGCTAAACATTTCAATGAAGATTGTGAAATTTGATTGACATTAGTGACCTTGGCACCCTCAATAAAAATAAAGATTTTTGTTTATATCGACGTACTAGTAAAATCGAAGTTAGAGATATTTTAAAGAAAATTAAGTGTGAAAAAGTTGTGGACCTTATAATATTCCAATAGAGGTGTGGAAATGCTTAGAAGATGAAGGAATTTTTTGGTTTACTAAACTTTTTAATAATATTTTAAACACAAAAAAGATGCCAGATGAGTAGAGAATGAGTGTATTGATTCCTATTTTTAAAAATGAAGGTGATGCACGTGATTGTATGAATCATAGAGGATTTAAATTAATGTATCATATTTTAAAACTATGGGAGATATTTATGGAGCATAGGTTGTGACGTGAAATTAATGTTTCTCAAAATCAATTTAGATTCATGCCAGGTAAGTCAACTATGGTGGTTATACATTTATTGAGAGGTTTGATGGAGAAGTGTAAACATAACAATGAAGATATTCATATGATATTAATTGATTTAGAGAAAGCATATAATAAAGTTTCAAGAGAAGTGCTATTGAGAGTTCTTAAAAAGAAGGGGGTTAATAATGCTTATATTCAAGTCATTAAGGATATGTATGCAGGAGTTATTACTTGAGTTTAAACACAAGGTGGTTTGACCAAGCATTTTCCTATTTCACTTAAATTACATCAAGGATCAGCCTTAAGCCCATATCTTTTTTCCTTAGTCATGGATGTACTCACTAGACATTTGCAAGAGGTTGTAACCACGTGTATGCTTTTTTCGGATGATATTCTCTTGTTGATTAGACTAGAGAGGGAGTTGAAGGTAAATTTGAATTATGGGGGTCAACCTTAGAGTCTAAAGGTTTTCGTTTGATAGATCTAAAACTGAATATATCGAGTGTAATTCTAGTAGTAATAGATCTAGTGGAGGAATTGAAATTTTGGATGATCAAGTCATTAATAAGAGTACACATTTTAGATATCTTGGGTCTATTGTTCACGGTGATGGTGAAATAGATGGGGATATTATTAGTAGAATTTAAGATGGGAAGTAGAGAAATGCATTGGGCTTGTTGTGTGATAGAAAAGTCCCCCTCAAACTTTGCAAAAATTATATAAGATGGTGGTGAGACCTGCAATGCTTTATGGTGCAAAATGTTGGCCATTAAAAGAGAAGCATAGTATTAAGTTAAGTGATGAAGAGAATAGAGATAAGGATGATCAGGTGGATGAGTGGCTTTACTATTAGATACAGGATACGAAATGAGCATATACATGAAAAGGTTGGAGTAGCTCCAATGGAAGATAAGATTAGAGAGAGACGTCACAAATGGTTTGGTCACATCAAACGGCGGCCTTCCGATGACCCGATTAGGAAAGTACATGTCTTAGATTTGGCTTATGTTAAGAAAGATAGAGGTAGACCTAAAAAGATTTTGTTAGAAAACATTAGAAATGTTCTTTTTTTATTAGATTTAAATGAGAATTTAACTCTTAGCAAGATACAATGGAGAAAAAGTATTCATGTAACCAACCCCACAAGTGAGATAAAGGCTTGTTGTTGTTGTACATGTAGTCATTCAGAGTTTAACGTTTGATCCCCTTATCATGACTAGTTCACAGCTTAAAATCATTGCAAAAAGTCATTCATTATCCATCTTTGAAAAGTATCATAAAGTAAAATTGCATATCACTTTCTGATAGTGCGGCCCTTTGCGCCTTAACACGTTCAGTAGCTCCCACTAGCTGAGATGTTTTAAGAAAGAAAATAACAAATCAATCATAAGTTATTCTAAAATTTTGCTAATGAGCCATCCTTAGGATGTAATAAGATGTATGATTTGAATTCATTCCAAAAGAATTGTTCTTATCAATCATGAAAAAAATAGCATGCCAAACACCTAAAAACAATTAGGAGCATGTTCAGGAACTCGAAGGCAAAGCAAATGGCCAAAAAAGGCATATCAGTGATGCCATCCAAAAGAAATTAACACCGGTACTACAAAATCTGCAGCAGTTTCAACGTGACTTCTTCATTTCAGGTTTACAGTCTTTTGTCAGTCATTTTAATTAAGCACTCGGTGATATAATAACAGGTTGTCCAATTGGATCCATTCACATTGCTTCGATAAACCACTCAATCAATCTATTACAAAATCTCAATAAATTTTAACGTACACTTTCTCTAATATAGTACTTTGACAATTTACGACTTCAAATTTTACTGCACATCTAGCTGAGCATTCTTTCAAGAACAGTCAATAACACAAAATGCTAATTCTTATCTAGTTGATTACAAAAAATAGTTGGTGTTTAGCTCTTCTTAAATAATATAATTTTAAATGCCAACCTCTCATTACACCATCGATATATTGGTATTCATTACCACCACAATTTGATCTTGAGAATCCTTCTTATTAGATCCCTAGCACATTCACACTTTAATTGGAGATTTTCATTACCTGAAATATAACTCTGATGTTAGAAATTGCTCCACGCATATGTTTGATGGATTCAATGTACTATCTGAATAATACTTTTTCTCATTAATTCAGCATTAAATCAGCAGTTTTAGCTTGATTACATATGTTTATGGAAAGTAAACAATGAAAAATCTTTTGAAATTTATTTTATTTGAAACTCAAAATTAGGAAATTTATTTTTGGAAAGTATTGTTAGGAATAAAATGAGAGATCGATTGTGATCTTCTAGTATGATTCTGTTTTTATTTTAGGAAAGTATCTTAGGAATGAAAAGAGAGATCGATTGTGATCTTCTCCTATGATTTTGTTTCCTAATTTTAAAAAAAAAATTATTCTTCAATGATTATGTTTCCTAATTTTTGGAAAAGAATTAAGCTAATTAGTTCTTTCCTTTATCAAACATTTTTTAGTATATATGTGTAAATGTAGTACTGCTTTTTGAATAATGAAGAAGAATAATCAATTAAGAAATTTCTCATGGTATTAGAGCTAATTCTCTAAACCCTAATCCTTTCAGGCCGCCTTTGTCTGGCATAATCTTTCTAGTTGCTTCTTCTCTGTTTCTCAGGTCAATTACTCTGACTGATTCTCTCTAGTCAATGTTCATCCCAACCTTATTCTTCTATTTTTCCAACAAGCTTATTTGTTCTTCTCCCTCATCTTATTTGCAATACAAAATGGCTCATCACAAATACTTTGCATCACGATACCATAATCAAGAAGCAGTTCAGAAATTTCAAACATTGATGGTAGTGATTCTTCCCCAATTTTCATATCATGATACAATTTTAATGGCCATAATTATTTGCAGTATTCACAATCTTCATTGATGTTCATTTGTGATTAGAGAAAGGATAAGTATCTCACGAGAGTGGCCGCCATGACAAAGATTAAGATAGAGGTTTTAGAAAGTGAAAGATTGAAAATAGTGTGATTATATCAAAGCTTATTAATTCCATGAACAATGACATAGGTGAAAATTTCTTATTGTTTGGAACTACAAAAGAAATATGGTATGCAGCCAAATAGAGGTGTCAAAACGGGTCCGCAGGTCGGGTTCGGGTCGAACCCGGATTGATCCGGATTTAAAAGGGTTGACCCGAACCCACCCTCATTTTTGTAAACGGGTCAGGAAAACCAACCTAGACCCGACCCGCACGGGTTACCGGGTTGACCTAACATGACCCGCGAACACGAAACGGATGCAGTCACTAGCGTGCAGAAGGAGCTTGGCAGAGCACGGCGAAGCCTAGGGTGAGCGTCGGTCGCACAGCTTGGCTAGAGGCTGGGCCTGGGGCAGCTGCAGGTGCAGCCAGTGTGGCTAGGTCGTATAGCAGTGGAAGTGCGGCACCGCTCTGCTCATGCCGCATGTGTGGGCTACACCTACGCGGACATCAAAGTTAGGACGAATTGGGCCACCTACAGACGTGCGGAACTGCGTGCGGGTTGTGCCTATGCTACGGTGCGAGCAGACAAACTACTGCGCGAGCGGAATAGCTGCGACACAATGGTAGGCTGGGTTACCCAGCAGGGTTTTCTAAACAGGTCAACCAGAGTCACTTTCGGGTTTCCGGGTCAACCCGAACCCAACCCAGTTTTTGAAACAGGTCGACTTGTTGAACCCGACCCATATGTCAAACGGGTTGACCCGAACCCAGAATTTTTCGGTTAGAGTCCGGGTCGGGTTTCAGGTCGGGTTTCAGGTCGGGTCAAATATTGACACCCCTACGGCTAAAGAGACCTATTCCAGCTCTGAAAATACTTCAGAGCTATTTCAGGTTGAATAAATATTTAATGACTTCTGCTAAGGAGAGTAGTATGTTACTCGGTATTACAACACACTCACACGATATTGGCAACAACTTGAGTTACTTGGAACTCACTCATAAACATGTCCAAAAGATGCAATAATATACAAGCAAATTGTGGATTTAAAAAGGTTTTTCAATTTTTTCTTAGGACTTAATAAGGAGTTGAATGATGTTCGAGCTCGAATCATGTGCATTAAGCCACTAACAAATCTTAGGGAGGCTTTCTCAAAGATTAGGCATGAAGAAAGTAAAAAGAAAGTGATGATGGGATCTAAAGAACAACCCGCATAAATGTTGGATGTATCTGCCCTTTTTGTTCGATCATCTAACAGTAATAATGGAGATCATCAAAAACGGAAAAGCCTTGATGTGATTAATGCAAGAAACCAGGTTGTTACAACGAGAGTTGCTAGAAGATCCATCGCAAACCATCTGATTGGAAACAAAAGCCATGGTTTAATAGAGACAGCAAAGCACATGTGGCTCCCAACTTTGAGAGTGCTCCTGTTCCTGAGCCTAGCCCATATAGGAAAGAAAAGATGGATTTGTTGCATAAATTATTTAGTCAAATTGGTAGTGGTAGGTTTGGTTGCTCAAACATATTCACATAATGCATTCACTACTAACAGAAGAGAAATGAGGCCATGGATAGTCCACACTGGTGCTTCTGATCACATGACAAGAGATGCTGCCCCTCCCCAAAATTACAAGCCAAGTAGTGGCCAGCCACTCATTTGTTCATATTGTTGATGGTTGCATCTCAACTCTATCCTGTATGTTCCAAACTTGGATTGTAATATTTTGTCCATTAGCAAATTGGCCTGTAACCATCAATGTACTACTAAATTTTATCCGAACTTGTGAGTTTTTCATAACTTGAAATCGAGCAAGATGATTGACAGTGCTAAATTGTGCTCCGTGCCCTAACTCCTTTCATGTGCACCTTTTCATTACCATTCTTTTGCATCTTTTCATAACCATTCTTTCACATAAACTTGAACTACTATGCTTATTTTTTAATCTTCTACCTTCCTTTATACATGATAATAACCTTATTTACAATATAGGTGATACTTGCACAAACTCTCTAATTTAATCATTTCTCATTTCTATTTATTTTATCCAACATCCATCTAAATATTCCCATTTCTACCACATGATTTATGTTTATTAGAGACATCTTTGTTTCCCAATGCTTAAATTCATATAGCACAGTCTAAGTTGTTACAATTTTCTTTAACATACCTTCTAGTCTCCATGAATTCCCTTTTCTCATAGTACTCTCAATGCACTTATCCCCTTTTACCAATCAAATTTAAATCAAGAAGTATGCAAAGCATATACATACAAAACTACTCGAGTTGATACATGAGGCATATGATCATTGGTAAAAGAAAAGCCAATGCTAAATCTTTTCAAAACACTCTGAGCGAACTATGCCCATGCTTAAACAAATATTTGCTTCAATAAGATATTGAAAAACCAACTCAAGCTAAGGTCTCCAACATAGATTAATGGAAATAAGGTATTGACAATCAACTTGGAGCTAAGCCTCCGAGTTGCCGAAAATTCCTGAGTTGTTTAAAGCTTGCTCAACAAACCATATCCCTTTAGTCTTTCATTTTTGGTAAGCTCCTTGGCTGTTATAACCCGAAGTTGCTAACAATCATACCTTCATGCCAAAAATATAATTCCCTAACTCAAATAATCTACTTGTCCAAGCAAGCTTAATGGCTCAATACTAATGGTCATAAAAAACTCCCTAACCCAATGCATGTAGTCACAACACAAAGCTCCCTGACTTAAAGCTATGTTGCCACAATCAAAGGTCCCTAATAACTAAGATTGATTAACAGATAAACCATAGGCAATTGCTAGAAATATGATCTTTCTAGAAAAAGCTCATTGAGTTCTCACACAACCTAACCAAAAGACAAAGTTACAAACCTTAAATCCTAGTAACATCACAAAGCTTCCTCACTTAAAACTACATTTTCATAGCCAAGTCTCTCTAAAAATCAAAATTGTTAACTAATAGACCTTAGATGATTGCAAGCAAGATAAAAGTTCAAGATAAAACCCCTACCATACATTGTGCAGGAAAAAGCCCCGCAATTAACACACAGATACCCTCAAAATAGATGGTCATGGTACAAAGCTCCCTAAATTAGAGCTATGTTTTAATACTCAAATCCCACTATAACCTAGCATGAATAACTAATAAACCCTTAAGAGTTGTAAGAAATATGATTGTTTAAATAAAACCCATTAAGTGGCACACATTGTTCAAAAAAAAGGTCACTCGATTAGTGCGCACACAGACACATATTATACTTGCATATCATGCGCTAGCCATGTGGGTTCAAAAAAATTGTTCCATACGTTTGGCAACTAGCGTATTTAGCATTCCATCAAAAAAGTCCTCTTCTCTTAGGCATCAAAGGTTTTCTCTGCCTTAAACCTTGAAGATTATCAATTAACAGATATGAACTCACAATTAATCAATTGATACATGCAAAACAGAAATAATGCGTTTCAAAGCATTCGATCATCTGTCAAAATTGACATAATCGAGCCTCACCCATATCTGAGAAAGACAAGCATTCATGGAAAGTAGCGCATATAAAAAAAAGAAGTTGCAATACATGTTTTACTTCGAATTTCAGTCACAAAATGACTTACAAGATTCCAAAAAATGGTACTTGCTCAACTTCTCGTCCGCCTTATTCGGCTCATCTGCTTTGAAATCGAAAATGGAGAGATCCTTCGTGGGGCCCCTCATATGTGACAGATCTCCAGACACCAAGACTTTACATTATCAAATTGAGAAACCTAGCTTGAGCGATATGTTGACAGCTTATAATTCAGGATTTGATGCAATTCAGACTTGAACAGATCGCGGAAATAAGTGGCAGAATATTACAGAAGAATCATACTGAGAATCGATATCGCAGAGCGATCCACCAAGCTGCCCTAATCGACCGCCGTTAACGAGAGCGAAGAAGCGACCGCCAATGCCCGGCCGTGCTCTGTGGAAATACCGAAATAGTACAAAACGGCTCACGTATTTGACTCATAGGTCACGGATTACACATTTATTCCGTCCGCGCTCAAGAGATGGCACATATATGCGACGTGGCTTGCACGTGCGAAGCAGGTTACGACGGCAGACTGCTTGTTATGCATAAGCTAATGAATTCGTGATTATTTTTTATCTAATTGCAACTTAATTTAATTTAATTAATTCTGTTGGGGACTGAATAATTCGTGGAGATAGAGAGCACAAAAATTTAACACACAAACATGTTATTAAGATGATAAAGAAATATTAAAAAATTTACGTGAAATATCAAAAAGAGGAAAATCACAAGGCATTGTCCCGTTGAAATGTTCTACTATTGTTTGAAAAGATCACAAAAGTTGGCTCATCCTTCAAATCAAGGACAATTTAAATATAATATGTTGAAGATCTTGTCAAACTTCAAATGGGCGTTTTTGAGCTCGAATAAATGACAGATGTTAGAAACATGGTGACAATAGTTAGGAAAATGTTCAGTAGAGGTTGGGCAGCTATTGGAGATCTGTCGATGCCCTACGAACATGTGGAAGTCTAATGATGGTTGATGTTCGAGAAAATAATCGATGGTGGCAAATGAACGAGTCGAAGTTTGATGACGGTCGGTGGTCATGAAGAAATAAAATAGTGGCCAACGAATCGGTGAAAGTTCGGCAATGATCAGTGGTTGAGAAGAAATTCGGTGGTGGCCTATAAACGGGCAGAAGTTTGGCAACGGTCGATGGTCGAGAAGAAATTCGGTGACAGTAGAGCTCCAAAATTTTCTTCTCTTTTCTCCTCCTCCCATATGAAGAATGAAGGTCTCTATACAAATTTTTTAGAGTATCATGGCTAGTAAATATAAAGAAGATCAATGGCAAATTGAGAGTGTTCCAACATACGACCGATATTGACACCCTTGATCATGACTCATTTATTGAACATTTAAGTGCTTTGATGAGTTTTAATTTGAAGTTCTTGGGCTCGTTGGATTCATCTCGTCGAGCCGCTTGATTTGACTATAAGCGTGTCATATTTGAATATCATTTAATCATCCAAGTAATACTCTGAAACTTTCTAGTATGCTTTGATCCTTTGATTTGGGCTCATTTGGGCTCGGATTGGATTGAACTATGTGTCATTGCGATCATCTCAATGAGACGATCAATTTGTGATCGTCCCAATGATTTATACCAACGGATAATGATTGAAATTGGATTTAAAAAATCCAAAAAAGCTTAGAAACTTTAAAATCTCACAATAAATCCATTCTTTCACCAAATTTGATGTTATTGGAGTCATTGGATAGGGAATTCTATGTATTATTTATTAAAATTATAATTAAAATAATTCGATCACTATTGTTGCAGGATAGAGCATACGCGGTGATAGAGTTAAAATCATACATCTTAGCATTGTATAAATATCTAGCTCACAAAAAGATAACACAATATTTTTTACGTATAATTAGCATTGTATATGCATATTTTTTATCTTTCTTTTTTCTCATAACTTTCACAGTTTCTCATTGAGGCCTTCCCCTAGCCTTGCACAGGCAATATCTTAGGCCCACGGCCTCTCTCTATAAGAAGGAGATCCCTCCCCCTTCTTCTTATATTCCTCAATCTGAGGCATTCCCCTAGTTCTATTTAGGCGGTATCCCTTGGCAGATCTAGGGTCCCTCACTGAGTAAGAGTTTCCTCCCCCTTCTTCTCTCCCTCACATTGAGGCATTCATCTAGTCCTGTTCAGGTGGCATCCCCTATGCATGTATAGGGTCCTTCACTAAGTAGGAATTTCCTCCTCATTCTTCTCTGCTCATACTGAGGCGTTCCTCTAGTCTTATTCAAGTGGTATCCCCTGTCTAAGTCGAGGTCCCCTCTTTGAGTAGGAGTTTTCTCCTCCTTTTTTGAGAGATTTTGCAGACGTCTGATGTTATTCGATGGAAGTCTAGAAATATACGAAAGTCCGACATCGCGAAGAAGTCCGGGAATGAGTAAAAATTCGACGTTAGGTAGAAACCCGACGAAAGTTCGGTGATGGGCAGAAGTTCAATGACGGGTGGAAATTCAATCTCGGGTAGAAGTCCAATGAGAGCCCAGTGATAGGTACTAGTCTGACGACGGGTAGAAATTCAACATCAAGTAAAAGTTTGATAAAAGTCCCACGACGGACAGAAGTCTAGTGATGGTCGAAAGTACAGCGTTAGGTAAAATTCTGACAAAAGTCTCGTAACGGACAAAAGTCCAACAACTGGAGGAAGTTCAGCATCGATTAGAAGTCTAATGAAAGTCCCAAGATATGGGCAGAAGTCCAGTGGCAGGAGGAAGTTCAACGTCAGGTAGAATTCAGACGAAAGTCCTGCAATGAGCAAAAGTCTTGTGACATAAAGAAGTTCAGCATCGGGTAGAATTACGATGAAAGTATAATAACGGACAAAAGTATGATAAATGATAGAAATTTGGCATCGGGTAAAAGACCTTCAAGAAGTACGACGACTGGTGGAAATTCAGCATCAGGTAGAAGCTAAATGAAAGTCCGACGACTGGTAGAAATTCAACGTCAGGTAAAAGTATGGCATTGGGTAGAAGTTCAACGAGAATTTGACGATGCATAATAAAGTGTAGGTTAATATAATTCGCCAAAGATATATAAAATATCTGAGGTTGTATATTAAAGCATTGCTAAATGATGTTAACATATGAGGAAGATGTCGAGAGAATCCACCAATGATGTATGACATATCCGAGGTTATAGGTCAGAGTACTGCTTAATGATGTTTTCCCTTGGGGAAGATGTCGACAGAATTCACCAAGGATGTGTGACATATATGAGGTTGTATGTCTTAGCACTGCTCGATGATGTTAACCTGTGGAGAAGAGATCGAGAAAATTCACTAAGGATGTATGACATATTCATGGTTATATGTCAGAGCACTGCTCGATGATGCTAATGTTGAAACTCGTTCAATATGAATTAGGATGTTAAGCCTAAGTGATTGTCCAAAGGCTAACCAAGAGGGGGTGAATTGGTAATTTAAAAATTATACTTCTACTCTTGAATTTTTAGAAAACTTTTTAATTATTAATGCAAGTTAAATTTAAAGTTTAAAAATAAACTTTTCAATATGAGTAAACAACTTGCAATTAAATTAAATGTGGAAAAAAAATTAAGAAAGAACACATCAGATTTATAGTGGTTCGATCAAACCTTGACCTACATCCACTCCCCGGAGGCACCCTCTGAGTATTGCACTAATACCACAAAGTGAATCTCCTTTTTCCCCCAATGCAAGGCGGAGAAGCCTGTACAAAATCACTTTCATCATCCCTAGTGTGGTGCGGTGGAGTAGCCGGGTTCTTTGACACCAAAAAGATCTTCTTCTAGGCAAAACTTCCCTCAAGCCGACCTTTTAAATCCGATGATACTGAGGTGCAAGTTCGTCGGAGCAACCGTGTGAATATCCGCTCCACACTCCCTTGAAATCCCCTTCAAGGATCTTCTCCCTCCCAAACTCCACCCTTTCCTCTCTCCCTTTCAAGTTCTCTCTTCTAGTTTTCTCCAAAAGAAAAAAGACACAATGACTGTCAAAGATACACTTTGTCATCCTTTTACACTCTCTAAGTGTCGACAGAGAACCGGACCGATGTTGTTGAACTTCACTTGAGAGCCTTCAGAAGAGATGGGCAGAAACAAAGAGATCTTCTTCTTTAAGTAACCTTGTGAATCCCTCACAAATCCCTCACTTGATCTCTCACTCTTCACTCTTACAATCTCTCCCAAACACTTACACGCAATGATCCCTCTCAAGAGAAAACAACTCCAAAGGCGCTTGTGATAGTTTATAGGACTCCTTATATAGAAAGGACATGAAAAACCGTCCAAAAAACTACTAATTTCAAGTTTTTCTACGCAGTGGATCGTCCCGTATGAACCTGAGTTAGTACGGACAAACTATGAAAAAAACTGTCCCGTACGAACCATTTGTGCATCAGTATGAACCAATTTCATCCTAGGACAAAAAATTTCGTCCTATACGAACAGTTATATCAAAGGTCGGTTCCGAAAACTGCAGAACGTTGCCAGAAACTGTCATATTCGGTTCCCATCGTCATGGGACGAACTGGACTTCATCTGGACGAAATTTTTACATAGAGCAACTCGTCCTAGGACAAAAATGTTTCGTCCTGGACGATCAGGACTTAGAAAAAATTTTTCAGTTCAGCTCCTGTCCGTTCCATTGCTCTTACAAGGAGATAACTGATCTGATCGTCCCGTACGAACAATGTTTGTCCCGTACGATCAGCACAAAACTTTTTCAAGATCTCCTTTAGTGTGTATTAATTTATTCACTCAATTACAATCACTTCCTCTTAAAGTTAATTCAAATAAAAAGTACAAGCTTCAAATTTACAAAGTATTTCATGTTGAATTTGATTTGAAGTCTTCGTAGTCTGGAGTTCAATTTTCCTGAAATATTAGTACACACAAGAGCAAAAACAAGTCTTCCAAAAAATATTAGGAGATAACAATACATAAAATAATAATATTTGGAATCATCAAAACTATACAAGTTGCAAGAATGTAAAACATGCAAATACCAACTTTCCTAACAGTTAACATGTGTGAAAGAAGTTTAATCAAATCACCCTGGAATTGATCATCTAGTGATTGAAACACAATAAAGATTTTGTATTTCTCAAATCAATGATTTAAGATTTGATTCACATCCACTTATGATGTTTGACCTATCCGATATTGTATGTCAAAGCCCTGCTTGATGACATTAACATGTATGGAATAAATCAGATTAAATTCCCCAGGGATTGATCATCCAGTGATTGAGACACAATAAAGATTGCATATTTATCAAATAATGGAAAAAAAATATTATATTCATCGGTTGTTTTTTTCAAATTTTTTCCTTTTGAAAAAATGTGATAATATCAGAACACATTTATGTATTATATAAGATAATATAATAAGTCCCTAGTATAACTTAGGGAGGTACAAGTTATATTATACTCAACACAT